TCCCAGAGATGCTGCTGGGCTCCTCCCAGGTCTTTACCCCATCACAGAGACAAACCCCAGCAGCCACTTGGCTCTGGGAGAGCTCGGGACGAGCCAGCACGCCGGGACGGATTTGGGGGGATGCCAGATGGAGCTGGAGGAGCTGCGGTGTCGGTGGGTGCTGGGGACATGTTGCTCAGTGGCAATGTGCCACCACCGCCCACCCCTGCAGCAGTTCTGATGCTTTGTAGGATGTCCCCATGCAGATCTAACACCCTCCTGCCTCTCCAGCCAGGGTCTTACCCTGACCGTGGGTGCTCAGCAGAGACATGTGCCCAGAATCCCACAATGGCCTCTTTTCCTTTTCCAGATTGGAAAAGCCCTTTAAGCTCATGGAGTCCAACCATGAACCCAACACTGACCAGTCCCCTATGACTAACCCATGTCCCTCAGCACTGTGTCTACACGACTCTTCAATCCCTCCAGGGATGGGGACTCCACCACTGCCCTGGGCAACCCCTTCCAGTGCCTCAGAACCCTTTCAGCAAAGAAATTCTTCCTCACATCCCATCTCAACTGCCCTGGCCACAACTGGAGCCCATTTCCTCTTGTCCTGTCCCTTGTTCCTTGGTTGAACAGACCCACCCTCATCTCTCTCCACCCTCCTGGGTGTAAACAACTCCTTTGTTTCCCACTGGGAAACAAACTGGGAGTGATAAATGAACCAAGGAAAGGCCTTTTCCCATCCTTCCTCCCCTTCCTCATGCTTGATGGAGCCATTTGCCACCTGGATTCAGCACAAGGTGCTCAGGGACATGGGTTAGAGGTTGAATTGGTGGTGTGAGGTTTATGGTTGGACTCGATAATCTTAAAGGTCTTCTCCAACCACTATGATTCTGTGGGATGCAGAGGCTGATGGAGAGGAGGCAGCATCAGGCTCAGAGGATCAGCCCCAGTTCTCTCTGGCCACTGTGCTGGTTTTTCTTGGTGGCTTTGCTGCTTTTTCTCCTCCTTTCCAAACCCCTTTTATTTTTGGAACAGCCTTAAAGGAAGCGATGGGGGATGGAGGTTTGGGTGATGGGAAAGGCAGAGCCAGACAGGGGCCTTTGAGACCTCTCTGGGGACATCAAGACCCCTCTGGGGACATTGGGGACCTGCACTGTCCCACATTGGGCCACTTTCCCAGCTGCTCAGGGGTGTCCATGCTATTCCCAGCAGGACCCAGTCTGGGGCAGTGGCTGCAGGTGGGTCTGTACCAGCTTTGCTATCTTTGAGGAAAGGCTGCAGGAGCAGGAACTTGGGGGGGGGGGGG